CTCTCTCTCTCTCTCTCTCTTTCTCTCTCTCTCTCTCTCTCTCTCTCTCTCTCTCTCCTCTCTCTCTCTCTCTCTCTCTCTCTCTCTTCTCTTTCTCTGTCTTTCTCATTTCGTTTTGTTTTCTCTCTCTCTCTCTCTCTCTCTCTCTCTCTCTCTCTCTCTCTCTCTCTCTCTCTCTCTCTCTCTCTCTCTCTATATATATATATATATATATATATATATATATATATATATATATATATATATATATATATATATATATATATATTATATATATATATATAATATATATATATATATATATATATATATATATATATATATATATATATATATATATATATATATATATATATATATATATATATATATATATATATATATATATATATTATATTATATTATGTTATATATATATATATATATATATATATATATATATATATATATATATATATATATATATATATATATTTATGTCAGTCTTTCTGTATGTCTGTCAACCTCCAAGTCCAGTCAGTCCTTGCAAGCGGTCGTCGGGATCTTCCGACTTAAGTGCGAGCAAACCCGAAGTGGCGTCCCTTGTATCTGAAATCTATACAGTATCCTCCCTTGATGCGTCCCTTTCATGCGACTCGCTCATTTTCAGTCGTCCCTTTGTCCTAATTTGGTGTCCTGTTCCATCCCTCTGCCTCCGCTTCCTCAATCTCCTCGGACTCGTCCTCCTCATCCTCGTCCTCCTCCTCCTCCTCATCCTCGTCTTCATCCTCATCCTTGCTCCCAATCCTGCCTTATATCATCCTCGGCAGGAGGTCCTACGGGAATCTGTGCCGCGCCCTGGGAGTTCGTCCGCTTGAAATGACCTTCCGGGAGTCCCATTAAGCTGCTGTTCCTTCCTGGCGAGATGGCGTCCACTTGCAGATGGATGTGTTATCTCGTTCTCGCTCTCTCTCTCTCTCTCTCTCTCTCTCTCTCTCTCTCTCTCTCTCTCTCTCTCTCTCTCTCTCTCTCTCTCTCTCTCTCTCTCTCTCTCTCTCTCTCTCTCTCTCTCTCTCTCTCTCTCTCTCTCTCTCTCTCTCTCTCTCTCTCTCTCTCTCTCTCTCTCTCTCTCTCTCTCTCTCTCTCACCCACTCTCTCTCTCACCCACTCTCTCTCCCCTCGATTCTCTTATCTTCATTCTTCCCTTTCCCCTTTCCTCTCGATTTCCTCCTCTTCCCTCTTCTCTTTCCCCTCTCCTCTCTTCTTTCCCTAATCCTCTTCTCTTTTCTTCTATCCTCCATACTTCCCTCTTCTTATCTCTTCTCTCCTCTCACTTTCTTCTAACCAATGGCCTTACCTCTATGACCCTAACTGGACATAAGTTGGTTTGTTGTTACGCCCCATTTCAGACATACAGACATACAGACATACACACATACACACATACACGTGTCTCTTAATCCCTACCTCATTCAGCTATAAGTCTTTCCTTTATACCACGCATCCTTCAGGAACTCGTAAAAAAAACCCTCTGTTGCAGTTCCATGAATCCTGTACTTTCCTGGGTCTTCAAATGACTCACTTACATCATACATCCTAAAAAAAAAAAAAAAAAAAAAATTGTCGTGTGTCTGTCAGGTACGTTCTTAAATTAAATCTCTTAATCTAACGAGAGTTCTGAGACACTAACTACTAAGCGAGAGAATGATAATAATAATAATGATAATAATAATAATAATAATAATGATAATAATAATGATAATAATAATAATAATAATAATAATAATAATCATAATAATAATAATAATAATAATAATGCAATGATGATGATAAGGAATGAAAATCCCCAGTGTTCTTACCTACAACTCGTTTACTCGTTTGCACGCAGAAGATGGCAGCGCTCTCTCGCGGCGCTGTCCTTTGTCTAGGAAATCCCTCCCCCCCCCTCGCATTATCGTCCCTCCATGGCCTTCGTCGTCGCCTTCTCCCACGTCTCTTCTGTTCCTCTTCAGTATCCTTGGTTCCTTTTTTTGTTCTCCCTGTTTCTTCTCTTAAACTTACCTTTCTACTTTTTATTCCGCCTTTTTTTCTGTTTCATTATCTTATTTTTTATATATTTTTTTTTTCGTTTTCGTCTTTGATTTTGTCTACTGCGTTTCGTTTTTGCCCCCCTACACTTTTTTTCGCTTTTTCTAACTCTCTTTAAATAATTTTTCATTTCTCTTCCTCTTTTCGCCCTTTCTACTTATCTTTTGTTTAAATATCTAATTTCTCTTCCTCCTTCACCCCTTTTATCTCCCTTTAAATAATTTCTCTTTTCTATTCCTCCTTTCTCCGTTCTATTTTTCTTTAAATCATTTTTTCATTTCTTTCCTTTTTTATCTCTCTAACTCCCCCTCCCCTCCCCACCCCCTCCCTCTTTCCCTTGCATGGACAAGATCCACGTGACTTGAGTGTTAGGGAACCATGGCGGCATGCACGATGCAAGGTTATGATCAGTGTGTGTCATCTGACAATCAGTATTACTACTGCCACCAATACTATTACTGTTACTACCATTATTATCATTACCTGTTATCATCAATGTGGAATAATGTTGATAGTGCCTGTCTTCAAAGTAATTTATTTTAAAATCATTTGACTCATTGTGTCACTTAGCTGTGTCATCTACCTGTGTCATCTTACTTATGCCATTTTACATGTATTATTTACACGTGCATCGTATATATACATAGTAACTCTGTGCCTTGACCTGTGCAGCTGTATCGGCATCTAAGAACATCTCAGTGGACTGCTCGTACTGTGTTCCTCATGGATATTTTTTGCTTTGAATATTTGCAGATTTCTATAACTGTTTATAATGCACCTGTTTCAGTGTTGGTAATCCATGAATCTTTTATTTGTGGAACATTCTGTGCTAGATTTTCAAAATGCCACAGTTTTGTAAATTCATCCAACTTTTTTTTTAATGCATAAGGTCTGCAATGAATATGGTTTTAAAGTCTATGAAATATAAATTACCCACAGCCCCATGTTACTAAATCTTTAGTATAATAGGCAGTAGTTTAGAATCTAAACACATATATATACTTTAGTACACTTAAATAACAAAAGTGAGTAGGTAGTATAATTAGTAGTACACTTAATACACTTAGAAAGAGCACTTATTTTAAAAGCTAGCAAATAAACCTTAGTAACGAATTGAACAATGTGAGCTCGTCATTGCATATTTCATGCGATGTTGACTTGTAGAACATTGCCTGTTGAGATTATATTATGTAAACAAGATAAAAGTGGATGTACCAAGCTAGGAAAACTTTGTAGGAATAACATGAAGTTTAGGACTAACTTTGGATAGAATAATTTGGGAAGAGAGAAAATAAGAATAAACTCAAACTTGTAATATACATCAGAATTTGAAAAGAAGGAAAAGGAAATAGGAAAGTGGGATAAAAAAAAATACGAATAGGAATGTAAAAGGAAAACATTGCTAACTGGGAGAAAATAGGACAGGGATGTGATTCTTCAGAAATAAGCATAAACGAAAAAGTGTAGAATATCAAAAGGTGACGAAGAGAATGAGAAGTGAAAGAGAAAGATATTTTTTTTTCAGGAGAAGATTTTAAAAGGGAAAAGACAATAGGCTGTAGACAACCGCGGAGAGGAGAGAGAATATAAGACATATAGAAGGAGGGGGGGGTGGTAGAAGAAAAGATCAAAAGGTAGATGAAACAGAGGGAATAATAAAAGGGGGGGGAAATCTAACACAATACACTATGAAACCCCCCCAACCGTCACCCCCAACCTCCCACACCCCCTCGCAGAAACGACACGCTAGGTCAGTCCCTTGGGAAAGCAGGGCGCTGGGTGACCTTTGCAGTCAGAGAAAGTCTAGTGATATGATCCGAACAAGTAAGAAAGTGGTGGATTTTGACCAGTGATCGGAGTAAGTACAGTCACTCGGCAATTCTTCTCTATGGTCGCTTCACTCAGTGCATATAGTTTTTTTTCATTTTCGCAATTACATACACACAAATGTATATGAATATATATATATACATATATATAAATATACATATAAATATATGTGTGTGTGTGTATATATATATATATATATATATATATATATATATATATATATATATATATATATATATATATATATATATCTGTGTGTGTGTGTGTGTGTGTGCATGTGTGTGTGTGTACATATATATATATATATATATATATATATATATATATATATATATATATATATATATATATATATATATATATATATATATATATTTATATATATATGTATATGTATATATACACTATATATATATATGTATATACATATATAAATATATATATATATATATATATATATATATATATATATATATATATATATATATATATATATATATATATATATATATATATACACACCCATATACATACATACACATACACACACATATATCTACATAAATATATATATATATATATATATATATATATATATATATATATATATATATATATATATATATATATATATATTTAAATACATATATATATATGTATATATATACGTATGTATATATATATGTGTGTGTGTGTATATGTATATATATATATATATATATATATATATATATATATATATATATATGTATGTATATACATATACTCCTTGAAACATAAAGATAAGATAACTTCTCTCTTTCACTTTTTCTGTTTGGTATTTTTTCACCAAACATGTGTGACGTCATCACTTTTCAGGTAACGTCACCATGCATCTATGACGTCACGAGCACTAAACACGTAAAAAAAAAAAAAAAATCACATTATTTCTCTCTCTCTCTCTCTCTCATTCACATCAGCTTGTATCTTTATAACTTAAAAAGACAATACTATTACCATAATAAAAAAAAAAAACCTAAACCACCTGGCCATGTTTCCCATCTGTCGGGAGCCATGGCCAGGAAGTGAGTCTGCCAGGTGGTAACACATTTTTGTCCCCGCAGATGGCGTTTTTCCAGAACCGATCTCTCAGCCTTGTGGATATGTACATCGACACTTCCGAGCCTACTGAGAATGTCGGCCAAATTCAGTTCTCACTCGAGTATAACTTCAATGAGATGACACTTATACTCAGGATTATGCAGGTGAGTGGATAAGGGGGGGGGGGATAGGGGGGGAGTGGTTAGAGGGACGGAAAGGGATGGTGGGAAGGTTTTTGGGGGACATTTTGTGTGATGGGTTTTTTTTTCTGGATTGGTCTGTTTTTTTTGTTTGTTTGTTTTTTATTGTGTGTTTTCTCTTCCTTTCTTTGTATCTCTCTCTCTCTCTTTCTTTCTCTCCCTCCCTCCATCCTACCCTCCCTCCCTCCCTCCTTCCCTCTCTCCCTCCCTTCTACCCTCCCTCCCTCCCTCCCTCCCTCTCTCCCTTTCTCCTTCCCCCTTTCCCCTTCCCTCCCTCCCTCCCTCCCTCCCTCCCTTTCTCCTTCCCCCTTTCCTTCCCTCCCTACCTCCTTCCTTCCTTTCCCCTTCCCTTCCTCCATTCCCTGTCTCTCACTCCTATCCTCTACCCTTCCTATCTCCCTCCTTCCTTCCCTTTCTCCTCTCCCTCCCTTTGTCTCTCACTCCTATCCTCTTCCCTTCCTCTCTCCCTCCTTCCTTCCTTTTCTCCTATCCCTCCCTTTGTCTCTCACTCCTATCCTCTTCCGTTCCTCTCTCCCTCCTTCCTTCCCTTTCTCCTATCCCTCCCTTTGTCTCTCACTCCTATCCTCTTCCCTTCCTCTCTCCCTCCTTCCTTACCTTTCTCCTATCCCTCCCTTTGTGTCTCACTCCTATCCTCTTCCCTTCCTCTCTCCCTCCTTCCTTCTCTTTCTCCTGTCCCTCCCTTTGTCTCTCACTCCTATCCTCTTCCCTTCCTCTCTCCCTCCTTCCTTCTCTTTCTCCTGTCCCTCCCTTTGTCTCTCACTCCTTCTCCCCCACCCCCACCCCTTCCTTCCCACCCACCCATCCTCTTCCATTTTCATTTACCTTGTTTCTTCCTCTCCTTGTGAAAACGATACTTGCACTTCTATTGTCGTTCCTCCTCCGCGCAATATCTCCTTCATCTCTCACGGGATATTCCTTCATTACAGCCATATTCACTTCCTCTAAAGACACACTTTCTCATGGGGATACATCCTACTCTTCAGGGTCACAGCTATTCCATTCCTTCGGTTACGTGCATTTTCCTTGGTCTCTCTCTTGTTTTCTTTTCTCTTTTCTTACCCCCCCCCCTTTTTTTTTAAAAGCCTCTCTATTCTCTCTTTCGCTTTTCCCCAACCTTTTAGCTTTTTGGTGTTATTGTTAAATCTTTTCAGCCGGCGAAGCGATACGATTTTTCTTCTTCTTCTTCTTCTTCTGGTTTCTTTCTTTCTTGGTTGAAGAGTAAGAGAAAAGGAACTTGGATGATGTTGACTCAACTCTCAGAATTCAGGATTTATCTCTGCGAATCTCTACTGCCCGAAGAGTCACCTTATTGTGGGGCGATTACAGGATGTGTGTGTGTGTGTGCGGGGGGGGGGGGGGGGTTACAGTGTGTTGGTGAAAAGGTTGTAGAGCTGTTGATTTCCAGTCTATCTTTTTTTTTCGCTCTCTCTCTCTCTCTCTCTCTCTCTCTCTCTCTCTCTCTCTCTCTCTCTCTCTCTCTCTCTCTCTCTCTCTCTCTCTCTCTCTCTCTCTCTCTCTCTCTCTCTCCATCAACCTCTTCCTCTCCCTCTCTCCATCACTCCCTCTCCCTCCTCCTTTCCCTTTCTCTACCTCACCCTCTCCATCTCCTTCCCCCTCTCTCTCCCTCTCCCTCTCCTTCCCCCTCTCTCTCCCTCTCCCTCTCCTTCCCCCTCTCTCTCCCTCTCCCTCTCCTTCTCCCCCTCCCTCTCCTCCTCTCTCAAGTCCAGTCAAATGACGCTCACATTCCGAGTCACACAGAAAAGAAACAACAGTTAAAGATGAGATAAGATTATTGATCCCTGTCTGACATTCGATTTATAGCTGTCAGAGATTTATTTTTGGATGTGTTATTATGTTTGTTTGTGTGTAATTAAGCTTTATGCGTAATCACGTTAATAGTATTTTAGGGGTTACAATTCGTTACCGTTTTAGTTGGAGATTAATAGCACAATTTGAAAACGGGGAAGGTAATGTGGCTTAAGGGAGAGCATTATTACTGTTTATGTGTTTGTTTTTGCTTTGCTCTTGCAATTAGAATTTGTTTTTGTTTTTCTGTTATATAATCTTTCTTTTTGTTTTATCTTTCTTTCGCTTTCATTCTCACTCTAATTGTATATTAACAACCGAATATCATATACTATATTTTGAATACGAGCAGAAGCAACCAGCCCAAAATCTATCTATTTCCCGAAGTCATTTGACTAACCTGAAACACTATCAATACAAATCATTATACAAAAAAAAGGTAAATAAATAAATAACTGAGTTCTGAGTTCACATAACTTTTGAATAACGATTTTATGAAAAGTTTTCTAAGGGCCTGAGTTGAGAATCTCTTTTCAAAAAGGAAGAAAAGCAGTATAATGAACTCACTCACGGCCATCCATAGAAGAAGTATGCCGTACGTTATTAGATAAGTATGTGGAAAGGGAGGGGAGAGGGAGAGGGAGAGGGGAGGAGAGAAGGAAAGAGGGAGAGAGGGAGAGGGAGAGGGGATCAGAGAAGGAAAGAGGGGAGAGGGAGAGGGAGAGGGGAGGAGAGAAGGTAAGAGGGGAGAGGGAGAGGGAGAGGGAGAGGGGATGAGAGAAGGAAAGAGGGGAGAGGGAGAGGGAGAGGGGATCAGAGAAGGAAAGAGGGGAGAGGGAGAGGGAGAGGGGAGGAGAGAAGGAAAGAGGGGAGAGGGAGAGGGAGAGGGAGAGGGGATGAGAGAAGGAAAGAGGGGAGAGGGAGAGGGAGAGGGGATCAGAGAAGGAAAGAGGGAGAGAGGGGATGAGAGAAGGGAAGAGGGGAGAGGAGATGAGAGAAAGACAGAGGGAGAGAAGGATGAGAGAAGGACAGAGGGAAAGAGGAGAAGGGAAAGGGAGGGAAAGAGGAGAGGGGAGGAGAGGAGAAGGAAGGAGAGAGTGGGGAGGGGAGGGGAGGGGAGGGAAGGGAGGAGAGGGAGAGAGAGAGGGGAGGGAGAAGAGAGAGAGAGGAGAAAGGAGAGAGAGAGGGGGGGGGGGAGGTGAGAAGGAAGAGGCGTAGAGATAAGATGGAGGGGATGGGGAAGGAGAGAGGAGAAGGAGAAAGGGGGAAGGACGGAAAGGACGGAAAGGAAAAGGAAGGGAAGGGAAGAAAAAAAAGGAGTGAGTAGAGGAAAGAGAAAGAAAGATGGAAGGGAAGATGTAAAAGAAAAAAATAATACAAATATCTGTACTCTTAGAGAATCTCGAATTGATGTGTGATACCTTGAAGGCTCATGCGTCTTGTGCCATGTGTTGGTCTCATGCAGTGCCGTCGTGCAGCAGTGTCATGCAGTGGTGTCATGCACATCCGACCAGCCTGCAGTTATGATGTGTTGGCTTGATGTTCCCGCAGCAAGAAACTTATGATTTCCTTCAAAAATAGACGAAAAGTTTTTATTGGTTGTCGTGTTTGGAAGTTTTTCTCTTTTTTTCTTTTTTCTCCTTGTCTTAAATCTTCTTAAACTTTCGGAATAGTGTTTCCGAGATTTTTTTTTTTCCTTTTTCTTTTTTTTTTCTTTTTCTCTCTCTGTCTGTCTTTTAATGAGAAAACGAAGAAAGTGGAAATCCCAATCCCCAATCTTCGTACTTTATAAAGGAAAGGAAAAATCTATATACTTTCTCCTTAAAGTAGACACGAAAGTTTGCCCATGATTTAATAGCTCTAAAGAATCTCCCTTCAAGTGAAAATTCCTTTTAGCCTTTTCTTTTCATGTATAGAATTATAGCTTTACACAAGCCGAGACCTCCGAGGAAAGTTTTATTTACCTTCTTTGTGCCTTTTTATACTATCCATTTAGTTAACAGATGAGTGAGTTTACAAAACCGTTATAAGCCTAACAGTGGGTTTGGGACCCCCGAAGGGAGGTAAAGTTCCCTCCCTCCCTTCCTCTACGTCCCTCCTTCTCCCCTCTTTCCCCCTCTCCCCCTTCTCCTCTTTTATCATTTACCTATTTGCCCCCTTTCCCCTCTGACTCTTCTTCTCCCTGTTTCGTCTTCTTCCGTGCCTCCATTCCCCCCTGTACGGTCCTCTCCCTGTTTATTACCCTTCATGCTCCCTCCCCCTCTTTTTTCCCTGCCTCCTCCCACTTTTACCCACTTCATTCTTTGCCCTTTTCCCCCCTTCCCCGTTCCGTTGTTTTCCCCTTCCTCCCAACCACCTCCCCTCTCTCCCTTTCCCTATTGTCAGCTTGCCTTTCTTCTCTTCTCACTTACCCAATGACCTTTGCCCGTCTCCCCCCCCCCTCCCCTCCGCCACTCCCTTTTCCCCTTCCTTGCTAGTTTTTTCTCCCCAGTGTCTCTCCCCCATCTCTTCTCCCTTCCCCCTCCTCCCTCTCCCTCCTCCTTCCAAGCTCCCTCCCCCCACCTCTGCCCCCACCCCTTCCCCTCTCCCCCCCTTTCCCTCCTACCTACTATCCCCCTCCCCCATCCGCCCCTTCCCTGCCCCTCCGCACTCCCTCCCTCACCCCCCCTTCCTTCCTTCCTTCCTTCTGCCCCACAAGTTGCTATGCCTCGTTCTTTTTGGCCTTTGTAGTCTCAGTAACTGTAATGGATTTTTCGAGTTCTTCCTCGGAGTGTCTGCTCCTCCTCCTCCTACTCCTACTCCTACTCCTACTCCTCCTTATCCTCCTCCTCCTCCTCCTCTTCTTCTTCCTCCTCCTCCTCATCCTCCTCATCCTCCTCCTACTCCTACTCCTACTCCTACTCCTCCTCTTCCTCATCTTCCTCCTCCTCCTCCTCCTCCTCCTCCTCCTCCTACTCTTCTTCCTCCTCCTCTTCCTCCTCCTCCTCCTCCTCCTACTCCTCCTCCTCCTCCTCCTACTCTTCTTCCTCCTACTCTTCCTCCTCCTCCTCCTCCTCCTCCTCCTACTCTTCTTCCTCCTCCTCTTCCTCCTACTCCTACTCTTACTCCTTCTCCTCGCTCTAACGTTCCCTTAAACT